TCATATTTGATTATATAATCATAAATTTGGCGCTTTTAAAAAAAAAAGTGGATATCTTTAGCTGTCCCGTACTGTACGTATTTTTAAAATTTTTTACTATGGTCCTAAGAGTGTATTTAGAAAGATCTCTGTATAATATAAATTATAATTTTTATTGTTATAAATCAAATTACAAAAATAAATTTTTACATAATATTGTAAATATATATTTTTTTTAAAAAAAAAAAATCATTTAAACAAACAAATACATGTGTTGCAGATAAAAGATAAAATATTGCCTAAAAAATGTTAAAAAAACCTGCAACTAATGATAAAATTTGATGGATTTAACGAATGGTCGCAAGTTTAATTTGATTAGTCAACAATTAGTTGATTAAAAATTTTCCAATCGATTAGTTACAGTAACAAGTTGTCAACTATATATATAGTTGGTTTTCAACTACGTAACAATTTGGATCACTAATCTGATTAAAATCTTAAAAGTGTTAACGTTAAATAAGGATAGAATTTTGTTGTGTAACGGAAAAACATTAAAGCCGAAATATGAGAATTACTCACCTTTTAAATTATGTTAAAATATAACATATAGATTACAAAGTAAGTTAATAATGCATAATCTAATCATGAAATAATTTCGTGATACGTATGATAAATAGGGTTTTAAAATATGCTAAAAAAAATAATTTTCATAAACGAATATCGAATTTAGAATTACAATGTATTAAAATTACAATCAATAGCGAATTGATGTTTAAAAAAAAATCATTAGGTATAAATAAATATAGAATTATGTTTTTGAATCTTTATAAGAAACAGATAATTTCTTATAGCATTTCCTAATCATAACGCTCTTATTGAACTTCTCTATAATCATGGGAACTGTGTTGGTCAAGAATTTTTGGCCGCTTTTGCTGATCCCCTTCTCGTTCATGCTCAATTTGCTCATCCAATATTTCTGTTTCAACTTCATCCATATCATCATAACCATCCTCTCGATTATTTAATCTCATAGTTTCCATCAATGACTCAATCTGACCAGTCTGTTCACACAAGTATCTGAACATACTATCTGGATTCTTAATCAAGTTATATGGACTGTCGGATTCAATAATTCTACCTTCATCTAAGAGTATGAAAAAAAATTCCATAATAAATGTTACATCGTATCAATAAATAAATAAATAAAATACAATAAAAATAAATAAACACACACCAAGAACAAGAATTCGATCAAAGTTTATAATTATATCAAAGCGATTTGAAATATATAAAATTGTAGTATGTTGGAACTCATTGTGTATAACCTCCTGTATTTTATTAATCGTCTCAGTGTCAAGATCAGTGGTTACTGTAAATGATGGTGGACCAAAATTTAGTAAAATTATAAATTATAATAGCTTAACTATTAATCAGTTAAATATTTTTTTCAATAAGATACCTTCATCCATAATAACAATCTATTAAAAAATTAAAAAAAATCAGCATATCTACCGTACTTAGTAACAAGCACAATACACAATTGACTCTATACCGAACCCTCGGGCTTATAAAAGTTCAGTTTAAGAATTATATTTAATGCCTAAACAGAACTTCATAATAAAATTTAAACCTTGAAAGTTCGGTTTATCCAAGTTCGGTTTAGAGAGTTTGACTGTACTTCGTAACTTGACAATGTATAGAATAAAATGTAGTACCTTAGATCGCCTCAGTAATGTTCTTGCAAAACAAATTAATTGCCTTTCTCCGCGAGAGAAATTGCTGCCACCTTCGCTAACCAAATCATCTAAGCTTGTTATCGGTCCGATAATGAAAACTTGACCGTGTTCCTCTTCAAAATTGACAAGATGAACTCGTCTCAATGATTCCCATAGATCTTCATCAGTATATTCTTCACGAATATCTAGATTAGATCTAATAGTTCCCTCGAAAAGTATAGGGTCTAATAAAAACAAATATTATATTTTCAATTTCATAATCAGTTGTGCAGAATAAAAAAAATTGTTTAAATTACTGACCTTGAGATATAATAGTCAACCGTGACCTTAAGTCTTCTAAGCTTAATGTTGAAATGTCAATTCCATCAATCACGATTCGGCCTTTAGTAGCCTCGGTCAATCTTAAAAACGAATTTGCCAATGTAGTTTTACCAGCTGCTGTCCTATAATTGTTTAATAATAAAAAAAAAACTTTAAATCATGAAAGTTTTATCAACCATTAAATATATAGATATATATATATATTTTTTTTTTTTACCTTCCAACTATACCAATTTTTTCCTCGGCTTTTACAGAAAATTTAATATCACTTAATGCAGGTTCATCATTTGGTGAATAATGAACTGTTAGACCGGACACTTTAATGTTACCATCGGTCGGCCACTGTTTTTAATTAATGTTAAAACCCATAATTGCTATTAAAATAAGATATAAATAAATCATAAGCATCTAACCGCAGCTGGAGGATGAGCAATTGTCATCGTCGATGAAGGTTCTTGTGGCATGTTACTATATTCCTTAATGTATTCCACACTAATAGACAATCCGAACGTGAAAAGATGCAATATATCAAATAAAAATCGTAAAATTTTAATTATATTCACCTCTTTAAACCAGAATCTACTATAGAATAATCTTTGATAAGAACCTAGGTGTTATATATATTATTACTTTTATATATTTTGTCAGAATTATTCTAGTAAAATAATTAAGGAATGCTTACAGCCACGATAGGCACAAATCCAAGCGCATAAATCATACAAAAACCAGCTAAACTAGCATCAATACTATCAGTTCTATCATGTTGCCATAGAATAAAAATACCAACACAATACGATATCAAGGCCCCTATACTGCCGATGCGAATGTGCATCCACCGGTTAGACATATGAAGAAGGTATGTAGTTCGATTTGATATATTTAATCTAAATATGTAGATAATGAATATAAACAAAATCATAACGGATAAAATAATATGGTGAAAAAATCTGATAATGACAAGTGATGACAAGTTACCGGTCGGTGAATTTTTTAACAAATCGACGTTCGGCTGCAAATGCTCTTATTGTTGTAATACCTCTAATAACAAAAATGATAATAAACTAATAATGCTTTTAATAACTTTTAATGTATTAAGTTACTTACATATATGTCTCATTGAACCATGAGACAACAGGCAAACGGGTCACGGTTTGAAGACGTTTTAATTCTCTCGAAACATTAATGTACATGCTACTAATCGCAAGATATAGTGCAACTATATAAGAGGAATATATTTGTAGAAGCATGAATAATAGGTTTATATCGAGTTTTTGTATAAAATTAATAGCATTTTAACCTACCCACTAGGATGGAAATGAAAATAAATTTTCGTGTTATGACCGTAATCACCA